ACCCCCCCCCCCCCCCCCCCCCCCCCCCCGCCTTCCTTCCAGTGTCAGGTAAGAATGTAAAAAATGGATTTACAACATGGCTATAATGCATTGAGGCCCTCTGCAGGCTAAGATCACTCATTACACTTCAGAATCACTAATGGCACACAGGCTGACATCTGGTCTCACATCTCAATGCTTCACTTTGCAGCAGCACAGTCGGCTTCCCCTGCAGCTGGAAAAGGACACAAAGAGAAGCTCCTTTCTGGAGACCAGCAAAGGGAACGCATGGAGGCGTACACAATCAACCCCACATAACAGGAGGCCTCGGATGATCTCGGTACATCGATGCATATTCAAAGGAATCACAGAGAGATCTGTGAGCATAGCTGCTCGGTGCCAAGACTCGTCTGTGTTCGGGAGAGAAGGCTGACGGATAGACGGACGCAAAACCAAAGCAGACGAACCTTTCACGTCACGCGCAAACATCCAATACCAGCATCTTGTTTACTTTCAGCCCACACTAATCCGGACATTGAGTGAATAAATAAATGTTTCATGGCTTGTTTTTTTTAGCAAATATACAAATTACAGTACAACAGGACATGCCTTGTGCAGATAGCGATCCTTTATGTGTTATGATATTAAATGAGTATGTAAGTATCATACATACACACGGCTGTATCTTGAGATTTGAGGGCAAATGTGAACCGAATAAAAAAAGTGGAGGCTAGGGATGCTATTGTTGCATCAGACAAGAGCACACACTACAGGCAGCACGCAGTACTTTGGGGGGGTTCTGGCATGAACCTGAGAAAAAGGTTCATTTTTCATATTTTACACAATCATATGTTCATGCATCTTTTAACTCCCACAGAGACACAGAGAATATTTAGATCTCAAGATAGACAAATGCTTAAAACTCAATCAGACAATGTCAGGAACTAAACCTTGATCACAGAATAGCCTACATTACATTTTGGAGAAAAATATTTCAGATCAAAGTGCCTTTCATCTCCCTGCTGCACACATAGACGTGCAGCTCGCTCAGCTGACGGCTCCGTGGAGGGAAATAAATCAGCATCAGGGCTCACAACTAACCTTTACAAGTGGTGACCAGGCTGGCAAGCGGACGTCAGCTTTTAGTTGCCGAATGTGAAAATATGGTTGTCATTTGTAGTCACCTTACATTTTGAGTCATTAAGATACGATGCAGTTGCACGTAAGCTGACATGAAAGAATTTAGGCTTAATTACAGTAACGGAACAATATTCTGTGTCGTTTATGTTTTATCCGATATATTACAGAATTTGAATCTTAAGTGTCCATCAAGACACTGGTTTCTCGTTCATCCCTTTTAAATTGAGTTGTTCTGGTTCTTTGTGCTGATTCAGATCACGGATCCGTTGGCCCTTCAGCATTGAAGTCTTGGGTTGTGGGTTCCTGAAGCGACCCCAACATCAACCTGCAGTCTGTCTTAATGCTGCTTAGACAGCTGAATCCCTTTTCACACACAGACGAAGAGACATACAAGTCATCATGTAGCATCAAAATGTGGACAATACATATTTAAACTGTATTTATTTTGCTGTTTGCTGTCCCAATTTTATTATACGTTAAAAAGTGGTTGGCAACTGTTCAATCAGACTGACCTACACACACAGCCCAGGCAATGTTTTTTTTGTCAGGACCTCCAAATAAAATCAATTCCTTATTCGGTTTTCTCTCCACTCCAGGAGCAGGTAGAGTGTCCCTGCTTCATCTTCATCCAGCAGGTTCCTCCAGCTGCTTATGAGGGATCCCCAGTATATTCTACCATGTGGCCTCTCCACCTCTGTCTCCTTTCAGTCCTCTGTTCGCTGGTAACCCCCCCCCCCCAAAAGGAAACGTGCCTGAATCGCCTCAAATAGCTCAATACAGAGTGAATCAGCAGCTCAACATCAATGTACAGCATTGAACTCCTCACCCTGTCACGAAAAAGGGACGCTACATTTAAATAAATCAAGATGTCTGAATTGCCACTGTGCTCTCTCTTTCTCTTTGCCACACAGTCACGCATAACAAGCACATCACCGCCTCCTCTGAGCAGAACCTGCAGCATACGATGCATCGATTCATGTGAGGAAAAACTCCCCCTTTCTCAGAGCAACAAGTCACGGCCCTTCTTGTTATGGCATGAAGCTCATCAGCAGACGTCTGCTTGCTTTATAAAATAATGGGACACACCACCTTGCACAGAGAGAAGAAGAACGGTCTCGGATTGCAAGGTGTTTGATCTTATTCTAACTGCATCCCACACAGCTGGAAAAGCTCAATACATCAGTGGGAGGCAACAGTCACGTAACAAACTATCTGCAAACAACAGAGAGGGCTCTGAAGTTCTGATGTCGTTCTCCAAGCCTCAGCTGTGCCGTGATGTATTGTACATCGATACCACAAATAAAGAGAGAGGACATGATGCCAAGGTGCCGGTGCGTGAAGACCAAACGGCTCGCAGCCTCCAGGGTTTCCATGCCAATCTTAAAGGAACAGTGTGCAGCATTTAGGGGGATCTATTGGCAAAGATGGAATATCCCATTAATAAGTTCTTTATTGTACAATCACCTGAAAACAAGAATCATTGTGTTTGCCTTTTCACAGAGTCCTCCGTGTTCCACCGCCATGTTTCTACAGTAGCCCAGAATGGACAAAACAAATGTTTGCCATTTGGGTTTTTCACATCAGCCACAGTAGTTCTTTTACACGCTTGGCATTATGGGAGAAGTTTCCATTGGTCGCATTATGTAACCTCACCGCTAGATGCCACCAAATCCTACACACCGCACCCATAACTTAGCTCTTCTTACAACCATTTTCTTTTCTTTTTTACAAAAAAAAAAGCACCTCCTGCCACATACCATGACATAGGCTTTTTCCGTACACAAAACACATGTAAACAGGATCAGCAGAGTTCCATGACTCGTGGATAATCTGAATCACCTCCTGTGTAGATATATTTAGGGTAAAGGCGGCATCGGGCCGTCCTGTAAGAGAGTGAGATGCTGCTGACGGAACATAAACCAACACACCCTGATTGATTTACCCGTCTGTATAAACTAGCCTGTATTAAAAATCAGCTGGTAATTGAGATCCACTTAAAAGGGGCAGAGAAATTCAGTTGTTTGTAGAACCGCCCTTAGACATAAGACAACTATTTTACAAGCAAGTACCAAACAAAGGCAGCTTGAAACACTTGTGTTCCTAACAAAACAAATCAGACAAAATAAAAACAGCCATCCTAACTCAGTCACAGTCAGAAGAGATGCCCTACCTTGTCAGGTCACATTTGAAGAAAAGAAGAAAGTCTTGAGCGGCAAAGCCTAGGTAACACAAAAGCTTACAAATATCCTTTTAAAACGTCCAGTGTGCTGGTGCAGAACAATAACGAACCGTAATGCACATAGGTATATCCCCATTAAAATGAACACAGCACTGTGACACTAGCTGCATTACTATGATGTTTGATCACCTTGAGCAATGCTGTATGATTCACCAGTTCTGTGTACACGGTACCATTGATATGGGCGGTGGCTGTTAAAGATTACAGGAACACACAGAAAGTAATAGAGGGGTAATAACCAATACTGCTTGTAACATGTCACTGATTTGAAACTGGTCCTTTCCAGAAGAACCCCGCGCAGCATCAACATCGACACTGATTTGTGAGAGGAAGTCCTCTAGTTGATTTATAATAAGGCCTCGTGTCTGTTCCACTGTTGCTCTCTTGTCCACCGTTAAAATCGTGTCGATGGCTCCATGAAAGAAATTGGAAGCATCAGTATCAGTATAGTTGCTGAACTCATCCGATGCCGACCTGTTCTCCATAAGCAAACTTGTTTTAAACCGCTGACAACTGCTAGCGAAAACATGCAACAGAATGTTCAGCATCTTATCAAAATGTCACTTTGGAGACACAGTTTACTTCTAGCTTCAGTCTAAGAACCACATTTCTTCTGACAAAGTTGCTCATCTTTATGTACCGTTGATTCAACACGGAGAGTTTCTCGCCCAACCAAGCCTCCGACTGCCAGTCACCTGATAGTGACCGTCTGTGCTCACTTCACAGCTGTATTGCTACAGTAGTGGGACTAACTTGAGTCCTTCCTTATAGCTTCCTCTTATCAAGTTAATTAGCTACACCTATACGCCAACATTATATCAAGACTAGAAAACTGAATCCTGTACTATTCAAAGATGTTGCTGGGGACTTAAAGATGTACAACAAGTCCTGGCACTGTGCTTGCTAGGTTTCTAAACAAAATATGAAAAAAAAACATGTTTTTGAGAACATCGGTAGGGTTAAAGCCAATTTTAAGTTTGGCAGTGAGCCAGCTTCAGCTGTGCTTTGGTTTTTTGGCAAAGAGCAAACTTCCTGTGTACACATTACACTGTCACACTGAATGACTAATGAGCCTCCCTCCTCCATAAATAAACAATGAAAACAAACAGATGTAACAGCTCGCAGAAGATCGCACAGTCTACTTACGGCTCGTTCCAAATCATTACACAGAAACTTCTTATAGATTTGGGGAAGGTTTCCGATTCTTTAAACAAACAGAAGCAATAGTAACAGAAGTCTGTAGCATCAAGGACCAGGGCCGGCATTCATCAAGCAGATCAAAACGACACATTAAATCATCCACATCATGTCTGACGCGGACTATAAATACTCAAAAAGAATTGAGAGGTGTGTATGAAGTGTCGATTCCTAGAATCTCACGAAAGAGTAGAAGTCTTCTTTGTCCTGTATTTTATTCGGAGCAACTACGCTGCGGATTCAAGACATTCAAAAGATTGGCTGGCTGTTCGATCATTTGCAATGCATCACTTGTGGGCGTACGATGACCTATTAAAGCACAAGCTAAATAACTGATCAAAAGCATCCGACACTAAACATTTCTGAAGGGATCCCAAACTAAATATAACATAGACATCAGTGTTCAAACAGAGACTCAGAGTCTACAAATGTATATCACAATATACTGTACACCACAACTAGAGCTGTAACTGACGATTGTGTTCACAATCAATTCATCTGAATATTAAAGTAAACATTTAGTCTAGAAAACATTAGAAAAGCCCAAGGTGATGTCATATAATGTCTTGTTTTGTCTGTAAAAAGCCTAAATATATTTAGTAAGAGCCAGAGAAGCAGCAAATGATCACATTCAACAACCTGAGACCATCAAAAGCACTAAAACAAGGATTTTTGCATTTCATGTGACGTGACAAAGTGTTTCTGATGTTGGTGCAAACAGTACAGTCAAATCCATCCCATGGCTCATCTCTCTACCACTGTGACATTTACACCCTTCACACCATAACGCCCGCCCACACACTCAATAAGGCCCAAACGTCAGTCCGGTGGGCAGGCAGCAATGAAGCCGTCACACGGCGTGGATGTCTTGAAACGCTCTCTGCTAAATCCAGACGCAGCGATCACAACATCACAGTCAGAGTCGAGGGTGTATTTACCTGAACCACCAGCAGAGGTCTTACAGTGGACAAGCAGTGACCACCCCCCCCCCCCCCCCCCCCCTCATCCAGAGAGGGGGAGGAATGACGCCACACATTAGTTTGTGAAGAGCAGCACAGAGGTGGGAAGGCTGCATTTGTCCTTGAGCAAGCAGCGCTGGTATTTAAACCCGACTCTGACTTCCAGAGACGTTCTGCTGACAGCTGATTAGACTGATGGATCACGACGCGGTGCAACCATTACTACCGTTATGAAGCCCCATGTCAGCTCACTCCATTCTCTCATACTCTCTCACACACATACACACACACCCTCTAACTGAGACTGAAAGCAGGCCGCTGCAGAGCTGATATGCAGTACAAAGAAGGACAGATTGATTTCACCGCACCTACTCTTTAAAGGATTACCTACAGTAAGAGTTTTTAACCACAGAGGCAGAGGGATGCTTTGACAAGAAGGTCCCCGTGTCGAGGGGTAAACTGGAACACATGTCTGCAGACTGCAAAGTGCAGTAAGAGGTGGTGGTGGTAAAGGGTTGGAAAAGGTGGAAATGTGTTGTGAAAGAGGAAACATACAATTCTAGGAATAAAGGTGGGTATGAAATGAATATAAAGAAATATTCTAGTGCTTTATCAAGTGCTTCATCAAATCCACTTCAGCCTCAGAAAATGGATTCTGGCAAGGAGGGGAAGATGGGAAAAGAGATTCCTAAAATGTTGCTTCTGCTATAGAAAAAGAAAGCTACCGAGGATTCAGACGAACATCCGGGGCGAGAGATTTGTGGTAACGTACCCAGCAGTGACGTTCTCTTCAGCTATCTGTGAATCACCTGACCTCAAACAGATGGCTAGAACTCCAGGAAGCAGAAAACAGGCACCGTTTTAGATGAAGGGTTGCGCATTTAGCCGTTTGTTTTTTACAGGGTTCTGTGTTTGCTGGACAAACAGCTTGTGTTCATCTGTAACGAGGGACGACTATTTCCGTATGTTTTCCGTGACTCTAAACCACGCCGTGTCACATTCTTCCGATGGTAACTCCAGCGATGCCGTTAGGCTTGTGAGAAACACAAATGTAGGATATTAATCACAGCAGGTATACATCATTCAATGAGACTTGGCATGGAGTTCAAATATTGGTTTCGGCGGGGGACAGAGCGTGGGAGAGGACTCACTAGAAGAGTCACTGCCCAACAGTTGAGCAATAAATGCAGTGTGTTATCCAACCACTGCCGCAGTCTATGCATCCCCTCCCTGTCCCCCAGCAAGTAACGCACAATACATGCACCGGCATTGTCAGGATGCATCGCCAAATGACTTTTAAAATATCTATAAAACGGTCTGATGGTACTAATGCACCTCAAGAGATCTTGGTGGTATTTATATCTGTCAAGTGCCCCATCGAGCAGCAGAGTTCACCGTGCACTCGAGTCACAACGGGCCTCGCACTAAATCACATTCACACGGACGTACCAGAGGCCCGTCGAGTGGCTGCAAAAAGGCAGTTTTCACTTCGGATTGATGTTTGTCGGACGTCATTCGCACAGTTTTGGATATTACATAAGGGCTCTTTAGATGAATGGCTCCTGCAAGTGCCAGCACAGGAGATGGACGAGAGAGAGAGAGAAAAAAAAAGGAGCATAGCAGTGCATCTGATCATTGCTAGGAGTGATTAGAGCATTATAGATATGGTACGGGTTATCAAAAGGACATGTGTGGCAGCAATTATGAATTATAAACACTCACTAATGTATGGTTCTTGTGGGCAAGACAACAGCAAAGGCTCATCAAAAGCGTTTGTGCTGACAATTAATTGTGAGAGGATTTAAAAACAATGTCCCGCTGATAGCATGCATTGTGTCTCGCCTGACAGACGGGTGCCGAGGAGAGTCTGATGCTGTCGTCGGGAGAGAGGGGAGGGAATAAGCCAAAGCCACAGGACCAGGAGGGTACGATATTAATCCCTCCACCGCTGCTGCTAAATTGAAATCTTGGCTGCAACCAGTACGTCAGTAGAGCACTACACCCTTTATTCAATCTTCTGGAAGATACGCTGCGACATATTAGGAAAGGCTTTTTATGAAGGTGTGATCGCTCGGTACGGTACGTTGTACAAAAAGCCCTCTGTGGACATTTTAACATGATGCTCCTAAAGCTCACAGCTGTGGAACATTTGGGCAGAGTGGCGGCTTCCAAAAAGCTCCCTAATCATCACAGACCATCTGGAAAACAACTGGGCCGTGCACTGTCCACGAGACAGACAGGAGCAGGAAAAAGACAGAGTGAGCACTGAGTAGGTGTATGCTTTGCCGTGGGAGCTGTTCCATTTTAAGAGCTTCAGAGATACCCATCGCCTAGATCACAGAGCACACCGTGCAACCAATAAGTAGAGGAACTCCATTCGCAAATATGAGTCGCTTTCCACCTGCAGCTGCACCGATCAGCCCTTGTTTTGCCTCTGCAGTATCTCGCCACGAGCACTGTAATGGTTGCAAGTTTTAACTTGAAGCAATGTTAAGAGTTCCTCAACCAAACAATCAGGCTGGTATTTATTACATCTGGCATCAGAGGAGAGCAGAGAACAGCCTCCCGGTGGCTTACGATCATATCTGCTGCAAAGAACTTTCTCACTTGTGCCTCTCCAACTTCTTATCCGTCTGTACTTTCCAACTCTATGGATGAAATATAAAAAGGTAAGCGGACTCGATGGAAGAGGATGCAGGACGAGACTTAAGCTAAGCAGCTCCCTAGGACATATTAAATAGTGAGAAGTCCATCGCATTCATTCTCACAAAATTGGAACACGGCTGGTACGCCAAGTTCTCAGATGATGTGTGGAATAGCAGCAGACCAGCAGCATGACCCCCCCCCCCCCCATGAAGGCAGCGACACAAGCAAAGGGCGGCTCATTGCAGATTACTGCACGGATTACTCAAATTCAACAGCATTTAATCAAAGACACCTCACGAGTAAGAAGCTTTAGGACCAAAGAATCACAGACGGCTGCATGCTCCCCTACTACACCCAAAAGGTCCAATCAATCTTATATATCGGGGATAACATACAACCACGTGCACCTTTTCTCAAAAGAAATACGACAAAAATAAGACTGGGACCGCTGCAGACAAAGAGTCTCTCTGCCTTGCCTTTAGTTTTTCAGAGAATTCTTCCCATAGGATGAAAAAGAGGAACAAGCGAACATTAGCACACACAATTTATAAACAAACACATGCCTCACAAAACCGTCAGGTTACGAACAAGAGTACGATGAACAACAGCCGGGGATTACTTGGTGTGATGTGGGTCTTCACCGAGTCTTAACCAGCACCCTGGGTAGTCGCTGACATCAGAGGATCCTCTCACACATGTGTTCACACGCACAGCATCCATACATCAAAACACACGACACACACTGTTGCTCCAGTGCTAGCCAGATGGCAAGAGACCCCACAGAGAGTGAGACTCGTGAGAGCTGTCTGTCTCCACCGTCAGCACCCGGGCCTACAACACAGACAGTTACAGAGCCGGAGACGGCGATGATGTACAGCAGATCCAGGTCTACTGGTTTCCCTCCTAAATCTCATCCCACACACACACACACACACACACACACACACAAGTGAGCTGCATGAGTGCCGAGCACTGACAGAGTTAGTGAGTCAGCAGCCACAGCCATCAGAGCCTCCCCCTGCCAAGCGGGTGAGTAAACACTCTCAGAGCTCTGCAGTTTGAATGAAGCACCGTCCCTGGTGTGCCATTTGTTAATGTCCTCCATGTGTATTGGGAACCGACACTTCTTTTCAAACATTCCGTCGCATATGGTCGCATATGGTCTTCATGATTATGGCGAGCATCGGGATTATTTTATTGAATATTGAGGACACATTAGTCATCAGACTTCTTACATTAGAGAGTCCATCGCTCTCGACGAGAGAACGCCTCAGAGTGCCGTGTTTCCCTTATACTGTGATATTTTCCCTAAAGGTCGCTTTAAAACTGCCGTTCATCTTTTGAAGTTTGCTTGTGGATGTTTGCACGTTGTCTTGTTTGTGTGGATTTTCTATGGGTCGCTCAAATTTCCTCCAACAGGCAACTAATTATTCCCACATAGGCGTGAACGAGGCCGTCTGTCTTTGTGTCGGCAGAGTGGTGAGCAGTCCGACGCGCCGTAGATCCGGATAAAACAAATGAAATGAACTGGCTCTTCTTGTTGCCTCCATCATAAATCTCACGAAATACTTCCAAGGTGCTACCAGCCGGGGGGGGGGGGGGGGGGGGAGAGCCCGACACATCTATGTGTGGAAGTGGGCTGTTTCACTGCTGATTAAATTGCAAATGAAAAAAAAAGAAAGAACATTTGTTTGCCCCAGCAGTCCTGCTCAGGATAAGGTTCATTAGGTTTGAGGTTAGTTTCAGCAGTGGGAGCTAACAAGTAACATCGGATGAAGCTTTGTTCCTGCCTTAAGGTTACTACATTGTAGTAAAAATGGTCTACTTCTGCTTTATTAGACAATAACAAATATACAGTAACTAGTACACAGTATAGTCTGTTTCTGCTTGTCCCAAAATGTCCATGCTGCTATGTGACGCTTATGTTAAAGCTGAACCATTCCACAAAATTAAATTATTATGGTTATAGTTTTGATGCATTTAGTATCTATTATGGAATTGTAAATACATTTTCTGTGAGGCATCAAATGCACAACATATTATATAGATGCAGCCATTGTTGGACCTGGAATAAACAATGCACACCAGAGAGCTGATCACAAGTGTTGTCCATGCTCATGGCTAAAGTGATCCAAACACTTGGTCACCTCTCTCACACATCACTACTGTGACTGGATCTTCAGGGTTACATAATCGGGTCCGATAGAAGGCTTTGCGCACACATAGAAGCGTGGATTACTACCTGGAGAGAAGGGAGAGCCTTTTAAAGTCCGCCATCACTGTGTGTCTGACAGGGATGGAGGGCTATGTGACAGGAATGGACGGACTCCCACCGCGTTTGCCCTGAAAGATCGAGAGCTAAACTGGATGATCGCACTCCAGGTAGAACTAGAGATTAAGAAATAAGAATCGATGGGAGCTCATTCCTCAGATCGTCCCTCAGCGTCGGGGATTTTCACTCACTTTAGCTGATGTCACTCGTGAAAATGAAAACAAATCCCCGATGCTTGAAGTCTAATCCATTCTTCAGATGTCTGATAAGATGCCTCATTTCACTGACGCCCTGAAGCGTCAGTCTCTGAATTGTCAGGAACTGCAGAGATGAAACTTAGAAAGAGAAGAGGCAAGAACAGAATGCCGGTATGGATGAACGTGGTGGTGTTACCAATCGCTGTTCATCTGTGATCCGGCACACATGTGAACCACGGATTAATTACACAGTTTAGCTTCACCATCACAGTGTGAAATAAAAGTTTACCGACATCGTTATCCGCCATTGGATGCTAGTAGAAAACTATTCATTTAGTATACTGAAAGTGTGTATTTTGAATGGTAGGGTATTTTGAACTATGCTGGGTGTGGAGGCAGTTTCCGTGTTCAAATTTATAACCAACAAACGTATTCCACAAAATGATTCTTTAAAAGGGATGATGATCAAAATGTGTATGATAACAACGAATCAAATGACAACGTGTGATGTGAGAGGGGTCACTTGTAGTGACCAATCACCAGAGCATCACCCTCTGACTCTGCAGGTCTGAGGGGCGTTTCAGCATCTTTCAATTTCACTGCTCCACTCTCACTGCTCTCACCGCATCGTTTCCGGCAGACGCAGCCAGCTGTTTTCATATTTTAAAAAAGTACTCACGGTACGCAACCTGTCCGGCACCAAACAACAGACAAATGTAGCCGATCTCTGGTGAACACAGTGCAGCATTCAGCAGCTAAAGAGTCAGATATTTCCCTCAAGAGTTGGTTGAGAAAGAAAACGGAGCTAAAAGAAAGTGACTATTGGACTTACACAGAAACACATCTTCAAATGAGTGCCAACGTTGCTCAGTAACAAGTTCGCTGATTTTAGAGGAAACTCCTGAAATGTCCTCATCTTTGTCTGGGTTCAAAGGTTTGTGTCTTAAAAAAAATATATGTTTAATTGTCTATCTTTGAGTGACAATTACCACAGCTGATTATTTTTTTTTTTAATTGATCCATATGAGAGCAACCCGATACTCCAACTTGTAACTGTGCAGTCAGCCAGTGTGTGGGCCTTCAAAGGACAAAATGAGGCAACAGCAACACGGAGATCCACGAGAGAGATCTTTCTCATAATTTGCTAAATTTCAATTGACATGCTTTCCACTATTCTGAGTGATGAATTATGCAGCTTTGGAAGTGAACAGCCACATGAAAGCGGTGGCTGCGGAGCAGACGAGTACAATATTCATGTTTTAAGTTGCACTTTATACTGATGAGCACTCGGAAGCGGCAAATTGCCCTCAAAGGACGCTGACAAAATGTTGCCAAATGAAACATTAATAACTTTGCACTAATAAAGCAAGACTTCTTTGTCTCCAGCATTGTGAGGGTCAGCCATTTGAGCCTATACTGCTGTAATTATGACGCGCTCATTAGTCTTCAAAACGAGATGTCAGCTGTCTGATTGTGTAACCTACTGTGCTTCACAAGTTCCCCTCCTTCAGACAGAATATCAAACAATGAGAGGGAACTGCCAGGAGATCTGCATCTGTCTCTGCATCAACGTAACTGCTGTAAACACCTCCTGCATCCACGGGCTAACAATTATAATACATGTAGTAATTAGAGCGATCGCTCTCCGACCAAAATATCAAGCCGTCAAACTGATTTCATCCCCTTCAACCCCATTCGCCCTCCTGAAAGGCCGTCGCAGGTCAACAACCCTCATTAGCAGACAGTGACAGACAATGCTGGTTTAATCACCCCCCTCCCCTCCCCTCCCTGTCTTGTTCAAAGTGAAGCTCGACTTCAAATGTGGAATTATGTGCAAGAGGGATAAAAACAAATGTGCCAGATGGCACAGTCTCATCAGAAACGCTGTTTACGTCACAAACAAAAACAAACTGAACGCATACTGAACTCTGCGGGCCTGTAAAAAAAATAATACTACAAGACCCAAGAGAGGGTTACAGAGAGAACGTCATGAAAACAACATGTCCAGAGGCTCGACTCTCCATGTAGGACACCGCACAGAGCCTCAAAAGGGAAGCCACGACATCTCGATCACCCACTGGTGGCTGGCTGTTAGTTCAGGAAGCTGTTTGACGATCAGCGGAGTCTTCCCTTTTTAACGTCGAGCATGTTCAATTCATCGTGGGAAGACCACATCGTGATTGCACCTTACATTTGATTAATTGTGCAGCCCTAGCTCAGCTGCAGATCTTTGTACTGAAGTGTATTTCAATAAAAGATACCGTAAGTCTCCGAGCTCCCAGCTCTCAACACGAGGTACAAAGTAACCAGACAGGTTAGTCTGAAGGAGAGCGGGAGTGCGGAGTATTGTTTCGGCTCTGGGAGGTCCAAAGCAGCACAATGGCTGGATGGAGTTCAGGGTTCTCTGATTTATCACCAAAGAGCAGGGCTGAAAGCCACTGGCTTAAAAAGTTGTATTAGGACTAATGGATGGGTGCTATTGACCCGTTACTCTCTCCTCAATGAGCCACAGCAGATGGGAAGATACAATGATTCTGTGTGTGTGTGTGTGTGTGTGTGTGTGTGTGTGTGTGTGTGCAGTATGTATGTAATCGATATGTGTGCTCTTCATGCAAAAAAACAAACAAGCACATTTGTAAAGAAAAAGAATGTTTGCCTGTGAATGAAATAAGCAGGCTAATAGTTTACACCTCCTCAGTATCTCACTGGCCAGTTGACACGTAGTTCCCCAAACTGAAGAATTCCTGTTGGCATTGGGCCACCGACAAAACAAGCCAGCAACTCAGCAAGAGGCTGCTCCGTCTGAGGCGAGCAGTGATTCCATTAACATCTGCACTGACCTTCACTCAAAACTCACGGTACCGAGAAATAATCAAATCCCGTGATGCGTCCAGTCAACACTATCACACCAACAATGTGCACCTCCGATCCTCCCTCACACACCCCGTCTACGTCAGCACAATCTGCTCCTCGATGCTCACACTGCGTAACCCTGACGGTAACGGCCAAGACACGCAGTCAGCATGTAAACAGGCCAGATCCTTCCGCTCACAACAGACCCGAGTCACAGGAATGAATCAATGATGCAGTCCGTCTCTCACCAGACTGAAAGACAAACAAACAATGCAACAAGAACAACAACAAAAAACTAAACTTGCAATACTCAACAACACTAAGCTGATGATGAAGTCATATTGATGACTTGCTGTAAAGCATAAGGCTCAGACTTTACCCAGCCGTCATCGGGGCCAATGGCTTTGGAGACTTTTCAGAGGCTTTTTATTGGCCGCCTCACAGAAACACTCAAAATGTCCCGAGTGCTGTCCAAGGCAGTTATCACATAAACTTATCAACAAATCTCGAAGTCAAAACAGTGAGTCGCACGTGCTGTGAGCGACGACAGCCGATAAGTCAACAAAGCACAGAGAAGCTCAGATAACGACACATACAGAGAGGGAGACTTCATTCTCTACTCAGGTACGTTACTCCACTATATTTCTACATGCTCCATTAAGCAACAAAGAAGAAACTCAAGACTGAGGCAGCCTCGGTCACATGTAGTACACAAAACCTGCATCAGCTGATATTCTACTCACAGGCAGTAGAGTATGTCGTAGGCCTACGAGTATTTTCTGTGGACCCACCACGAAAGCAACTACACTAAACAGTTTCTATTCAGGCAATGTGAAATCAATGTACACGTCACAGTTTAGCTAGTTAGCTACTTCTATGCAGTGGTCAAAAAATAAATGACATAGGCACCACTATGAGTGACAGAGGGGGAATGTGGGGTTCACTGCGTTTTCACTATTACTGTTCAAAGAGGGTCGGATTTGGTGTGTTTTCTTGCTCGCTAAACTGCAGCTTAAAACAAGCTCAGTTAAACCAGCTTTTGTTTGCAGCGTGTTTATTGTGACTGCTACTTGTAATCACAGGTGACTAAAAGATTCAAATGGTCCAACTGCGTCTTTGCAGGCACAAATACACACAAATACACACAAATAAAAACCTGTTAACTGAGCAGCGGCGCATCCGCTATTACACGGTCGCTGTGAATGATCCGATTCAGTTCGTGGGATAATCAGTAAGCTTCCTATTGAGATGACTGAGGCAGATTATGAATGTAGTTATCACTAAATATTACATGAGGTTAATGAACTGGCGTGAGCTCAGCCAATGATGATCAGAACTGTCCATGTATCCCAGGACTTAAACAAAGCTGCGATTTCATCTGCAGCTATAAGCACACAACTGTTTGATTAAAGTAAAATGTCTAAAATGTAGCTAACGCGTTAAACTAACGGTTCTTCTCTTGCCAGATGCCGTCCGCACGCTTTGCAGGGGACAGCGTGATTAGTCTGTAACGTGTTCTGCGGAGGGCATCCCTGTGCCATTGGACTGAGCCAGAGTCAAAGTGATCAGCTAATGAATGTGGTCCGTTCTGCACTGAGAAGCTGTGACAAAATACCAGAATATAAATTGACTGCCTGGCAAACTGGCCGCATGAAGCTCCTCAAACTCAGGAGGAAGTCAAAGATGCTCAGCGAGGACGATGAGGCAGAATAGCCCGTATATTGCAATGCTTCGATCTTGAGAGAATAAATTCATCTGCAACATATCTGTAACATTAGGATATATATATATATATA